CTGCGGGGACTCGGTTCACACCGCGCGACTTCGGCACTGCCCCATAACTCATGCAGGATGATCCAATGACTGTGCAGTGTGGATAGTAACCTAATGACATCCACATGAAGAGAATATCAGAAGCGCCCAGAACCAAAATAAGCCACCTAAATTTCTTATCATTTGCAAGCCCTTGTCACCGTATCCAAAATTCAAATTGAACATTTTGCCCTATATCAACCACATCTGAACAATTCTTCAGTTAGCTGTAGGTCTCAACTAAACATGAATGTCATCTGCCTCAATGACACATTTAAATGATCTCATTGTGGTCTATGTTTGTTAATGACAAAAATAGAGAGCGTTACTTGTCAGTGTTACAGACCACGTAGTGAAAATTTTGATGATTTTGTGGATAAATGGGTGTGATCAGATTTTGTAGATCAAATGCAATTATCCAGGCCTGATTTTCATAGACACAGACTTCAGGGAGTATTTCTGGCCTGTCCAGGTGTTCCACATCACACCTTGCCCTACTCCACAGGAGTTCCCACAGTTGCCCAGGTACCGCCCGTTAAGGGCGAAGTCGCTGCAGGCCCTATACCACCAGCCGCCCAGTCCGTAAGTCTCACAACAGTGGAGGCTGGGGTGAGCATCATTGTCCCTGTCCACAGTAGAGAACCTCAGCCCGCTGAGGCTATGGGCTCCAGCCATGGAGTCTCCCGCGGTGCCTGAATACCCGGAAACGGTCAGCCGGTACTGGTCTAACTCACCAGACACCCTGGATGGGAACAGTAAATCACACAATATCAGTTATGAACAACAGTCTGCAAAAATCCTTTGGCATGTTACACTACTAGATGTAGATTAGGCATATGGGCTTCCAAAGACGAAATATATGTACTGATTGGAGAAGATAATAAGCCTATTTCAATCATCAATGAAACAAATAATACAAGGCATTTACAAGTCTTTTACATTTAAAATAAATGAAGGTCTGAGATCTGCAAAATCTTGTGTTGAGATTGAAATGAAGGCTCATCCGTTGATAGTTTCATCAGGTTGGTAAGACACCTGTACAAAATGTACAATATTTACTACACATATGTGTGAAGGGATTACTGGAAAATGTATCTACAATGCGGTCCCAAACGCGTATGTGTAGATATATAAGCATTGTACATTTGGGAAAGCATCTATAGCAGCGACACCTGTGCTGCAGTGCAGTGTGAACCAATCAGAATTGCCCTGAGGAAGGTGACAGACGGTCACCGAAACGTCGGCTGAATAAAAGACTTGGTTGTGTCTCTTTACTCAAGGCCAAGTACTATTTACCAAGTGTACTTTATCATGGACTTACAAGAGACATCCTAACTGTGTTGTCTGTCTAGAATCCCCACTAGAAGGAGGGACACCAACCTGAATGTGTCGCATTCCGCGTAGCGTGTCAGAAAACTCCAGTCCATCATGTCGATCCTCAGACTATAGTCCTTCTGAGCAGTCAGGCGATGGATGTTCTCGTTCCCAAGCCAGTATTCCCCGTTCTTGTTCCCAAACCCGTGCTTGTACTCCTCCCAGTTTTTGTTGAAGGGAACCGACCCGTCCAGTCGTCGTTGGATCACAGTCCAGCCTCCTCCTGTGGCAAAACACTTGTCATTACCTCCATGAAAAATGGAGGTATTGTTTTGACGTGTCTGTGTGTGTCTCTGTCTGTCTCTGTGTCTGTCTGTGTGTCTGTGTGTTTGTGTTTCCGCACATTTGTAGTCAGCATAACTTCATAACGCCTTTATGGACTGTGATGATATTTGGTGTACTGATAAGTATTAGGAAGACAAAGGTCAAGGTCACATATGGGCTTCCTGGTGGATGACCTTGGTACTGCAGCAGAACTTCCGGTTTTTGTATCTTTTGTTTTGAACATGCTACGATTTTGACTTTTTGGTGACAGATAACCTTTCCTGTAAGGGATACGTGGTGTGGGTTTGGTCCCCCTAGCAGCTTGTTCTAGAACTGCAGGGGACTTTCGGGGGAAATCGTCTAAAGCCAATAAGTCCAAATAGGAATAACGTATTTTCATCACTTTTGGTGTGTAGGTAGCTAAGAGAGTTGTACAGAATTAGATTAAGCAAACGAGGACTTAATTTGCAAAATTAAGAAGGAGATTCTATAATTACAGTGTTTTATATAGTAGTTCTTTTATACATGACTTGTATTATATTTAATCTGTGGCAGGCGGAACATCAACAGATACCAATTATGCAAATGATAACCTAATTTGCATAAATAATGTGAAAATTCTGTGACTCCTTATTGGTGAGTAATTGGAATTTTATACCTCGTGACATGTGTAAGTTACTTAAATGTTAGTACCATATATACATATATGCATATATTATGTTAATGTAGAGGTTATTTCTTATATTAATAAGAACATGGAATGAAATGAAGTATGACAAAGCAGGCCCATATTTCATGGAGGTATGAGATCTTGGAACTCTTGTGAGTGTCGCTTTTGGTAGTTCATGCACACCTGTGTACATAACGGACCCCTATGTGCATGCCATATCTACCTGCTGTATCCATGTCACAGTAGACCGTTACACCGGACAGAGGTGAGCCAAGTGTGTAGACTCCACTGCTCGAGTGTCCGGCGGCTTTATATGCAGCACAGTCTGTATCTGGGAAACGGTAAGTAACAGGGAACAGAGTCACGATGTATAGATTGATTTGTCAGACAAGAGTAGCATATTGGTAACTCAACACACCTCCGGTAATGATGACCAAACTTGTTTTAAATAGTTTGGAAAGTCCGTAATTGTGGGGATACAAAGTAGTAGGCGTAAAAGGAAAAGAACAAAAAAGAGGTCGCTTATACCGGACTAGAATTAATTTTACTGCATCGAAGTGTTTGTAAGATGTAAGGTAACGTTACTGGTAATATTTGTATATGATTATCATCTGTCTATAAAATTCTGGGATGTGTCATAGTTTGTAGGCACCATGCAGGAAACGTTATGACTGTGTCGCTGTAAGACCCGCACGTGTAGCATCAGAACCGTGAGAAACTCGGACCCTCCAACTCACCTATAGGAGCCGGAGTTGTTGTCGCCTGAGTTGTGACCTGCGGAGGAGCAGTCGGGGCTGCTGGGGTTGTGACCTGCGGAGGACCAACACTCGCGGGGGGTCCTGACAGACATCTGAAGTCTGTTGGTTTCATAAACATTCATTTCATTTAAGGCTGCTTTAAATATTGTTACTCCGTGAAGGAGGTCAGGACCTCCGGATGGAGTGTTGTGATCGGCTGATTTTTCATGTTCGCAGTCAAAACACTTGGTTCTCTTTGTGTAATCGGCACGCAATTTTATACGCCGTCTGCGGGCATGCCCGTGGTGATGCACGAATGTGTATTTTTGCCGTTGCTGCTTTCGCGGTCAATGTAATATTGCAGACGCACCCCTACAATTACGAGGCGAATTGGAATGGTCCAGAAAAACGCGTTGTTTGGAATAGCAGTGAGGGGGGTGGAACTTCATGCAGATACGGGGTGGTTTTGATAAGTGGTTCCAAATGTTTTTGCCCATGGTTAAGAGATGCCAAGTTTTTTGGAAGATGTTCGCAGCCAAAACGCATTCTTCCGTACGTCGTATTTCTGTGTAATTTCGCATGTGGTGTGGCATTATGTCCGGGATGATGCACGTCTTTTTATTTTTACCGTAGCTGTTTTGATATTGAAGTAAATGCATATTCTAGAAACATCCCTACTTTTACAATCCTGTGGAATAGGCCGTAGGTTTGGGCAGTTGTCTGGTAGCAGAGGTATTCTAAGCAGATATCCTGGTTATCTGGCCGGCGGTAGTAACACTCGCGGTGCTTACCGCAACTGTTGCTGGAATTTGGCCTGTTTCAGGCGCGCTTAATTAGGTACAGGCACGGTATATTAAAGACGGTGGGGCTGTCTTTGTTACTAGACACGACCATGATTGTCCGATCTTTATGTGAATGCAATGATTGTGTGTGTGTAATTAAAATGAACTTCGAACTTGAAGCACAGTATCTTTACACGCCCTGGGAGCAGTAATGGATTTAGCTCTTTGTATGTTTTATGCTTGTGACGCGCCCTCATTGTATAAACCGTTGCCTAATTATAATGTCTGCACCGTAGGTCTGGCGTTGACGCTTGGGATTTTGTTGAAATATATAAAACTTCACGGAGAATTGTCAGCTATGGCTTCTTGTTTTAATTTGAAATTAAAATGTAAAAGTAAAATTTACCAATAAAATTATTTCCAGTCAAACACCTGGCGGGCAGGCACGCAAACTTAATATTTACCTGAACGTTTTCCAAGGATGAGTATAGTACCGGCCTCTGAGTTTCTCTTGGATCTGCGGTGCGCCTCCGCACTTTTCCAAAAGGTGGCGCTGTCATCCCGTCGCCAGTCTTCAGTTGAGCCAGCTGGGCCCTATAAGGCAATTATCTTCCCGTTATAGTAAACAAGTACAGTCACAGGGTTCACCATAGGCTATACTGTAGTACGATAAAACACAATCACAACATGCTAATTTTTTGTTTCTAATTCAGACACCAACAAAGCTGCTATCAAGCTTCACAAACCCTCTGAGCTTCACAAACCCTCATGAATGGTGCTCATAATCTGTAGCATGACACTTTTAATCTCTTAAAAAGCAGAAATCTACGGATGATGTCGCCTTCGGTTACGGTCGGGTAAAAAAAATATCCTTACCTTGTCCTTAGCCTTGTTTTCTTGCCTCAACTGCATCTGGAGCACCTGATCCTTTAGGCCTTGTAGATCTGTCTGGATGGTCATTTGCTGATCCCGTATCTCTCTCATGAACGCCGTTTGTTGATCCCGTATCTCCCTCATGAACGCCGTTTGTTGATCCCGTATCTCCCTCATGAACGCCGTTTGTTGATCCCGTATCTCCCCCATGAACGCCGTTTGTTGATCCCGTATCTCCCCCATGAACGCCGTTTGTTGATCCCGTATCTCTCTCATGAACGCCGTTTGTTGATCCCGTATCTCCCTCATGAACGCCGTTTGTTGATCCCGTATCTCCCCCATGAACGCCGTTTGTTGATCCCGTATCTCCCTCATGAACGCCGTTTGCTGTTCCCGGATGGAGGCGAGCTCCCGCACCATGAACAGAAGGGCAACGAAACTCACCATAGCCGCGAGTCCTGACAGTGTAATGGAGATTCCCAAGGTCCGCTGGTTTCCATGGCGACCTACAGAACCTTCCGGAGCTGCCTCGCTGTTTGGGAACAGCTTCTTGGACGACATCTTTGAGAAACCTAGCAGGATATGGCACAAATGATAAACATGATTTTATTAAGCTCCCGTCCAATCAACACTTCCGAGACTCAGATTACAATCAGCCAAATCGATGATAAATTGTTGCAGCTTTGAAATGAAATAATCTGCGCCGAGGACCCTCACTTCTGTTCTGCTATTACCAAAAGGAACCGATATGACAACCCCGGTCCTAATACTTTGCGTACATAGACGCAAACGGGGCATGTCCATACTATACGCCCAGCGTCGTACGAAAAACCACAGGTACAATTATTATTTTTGTGTGTGTGTGCATGTGTACTTCGGTTTTCTATGGGTACTTCGATTTTCTATGGGTACGTCGAGTTTCTATGAGTACTTAGAGTTCCTATGGGTACTTATAGTTTCTATGAGTATTTAGAGTTCCTATGGGTACTTATAGTTTCTATGAGTATTTAGAGTTCCTATGGGTACTTATAGTTATGGGTTCACCACACCACGAAGTGGTGGTGAACCCATATTGCTTTTTCTGATGTTTCTTCTCCTCCTTCTCCTCCTTCTTCTCCTGCCATTTTTTAAATGGATTCAGCTTCTTCATTTTAGGGCCTAAGGTCCTGAAATTTGTTGTTGGGGTACAGTGGGCAAATACCCCTAGGCTTTTTTTAAATTTTTGTGACACAGGCTTTTAGAATGGTTTTATTTGAGTTTTTTGGCTGTGTTATAGCAAATGTATTACTGTGTTAGTGTGCCGTGTTTACCAGTCTGGGCATGAGTCATCACAATGGAATGCAGGGCATCAACCAATAGGCATGCAGCTTTCCTTTATACTTCTTGCTGATTGGCTGTTGGGATTTAACTTGATTAACACCTGCACAGAGCATTTCCACCTGCACAGAGCATTCCCTACTTTATTGGTTAGGATTTTTAATTGCATAATGCAAACTGTTGATTTTCAAAATAAAAAAAAAACGTTCATGCCCCGCATTCCAATGCTGGAGCAGAAGAGCTTGAAATACCTACCAAAAC